CCAGCGGCCGCCCCGCATCGTTGCGCCAGCGTCGCCGCGTGAGCCGCTCCGATTCCGCGGGCACCGGCCGCGCGAAGAGGAAGCAGCTGTAGGGGTGCAGTAGGCGGCGGGCGGCAAGGCAGCAGAGCACATAGTCCAGCGTGACGGCCGGGAGGTAACGCAGCGGGTGGCGTGGCGGCGCCGTCCCTCTTCTGCCCTCAGGAGCAATGCCGTCACTGCCACCGCCATGGAGGAGGAGGCTATCCGCGGGGCGCTGGTCGCCGTGTGGCACAACGTAGAGTGCGTGGAGAAGCGGATGGGCGTTGATCCTTGGGGGCGACTTCTTTCTGCTGCGTCGCCCTTCAATCTGCATCGAAAAGCGCGACGGCGCCTCGTCTTCGTCCGCGGCCTGGGCGCGGTGGAGCCTCCTGCGAAGCACACTACAGCTGCGCACAAGCCCCACGAGATCGGCATCCTGCTGCTGCTGCTGCTGCTGAGCCTCTTCCACTGATGTTGTGGTGCTTGCGCGGGTCAGAGCCTTAATCCAACCGTCTCGCGTCTTCTTGAGCCACGCGCCGCTCCCGTGTTTTATGAGTGCCCGCACCACGGCCAACTCAATGCGAGAGAAGTCGTTCTCCACGAAACAGAATAGACACGACGCAAGCGGAGGGCTTAGTTCACCGGCAGACTCCATGGAGTCGTCCAGCAAGGCAATGAGATCATTGACTCGACGGTACGCGAGGTGGAGCTCGGCTTTGTATTGCTTCTCCGCGGCATCAGTGATGTCCACCACTTCACTAGCTTCATCACCTGGTTTGATTTTACTGTTAACTTGTTGTAACACACCCGAAGCATTTCTTTTTCGTAGGCGAGGGGGCGGCGGTGGCGGCTGAACGGCCTGTTGCTGCTCTTTTTGCTGTGGTTGCACTGATGCATCAAAGAAGGACACTGTTGAGGGGAGCCGCAAGTGGAACTTCTCAAGGGGCGGAATATCTGCCAACGGGAACGGCGACGGAGTGAATGGGGTGCTGCTGCTGCTGACGCCATCGCCAGCAGCAGCAGGATTGTGGAGAACCACCATGCGCTGGTAGCACTCCCGCAGCCAGTTCACAGAGACCACGTGCTCAGCTGCCACGCCGTAGTTGGTGGCGAGGTGGTCGCATAGCTGCCGGAAGAGCAAGCCCCGCTGCTGCTGCGCCATCTTGTTACCACCACTACCACTACTACTCGGTCTGCCTGGCGGCTCCTGCATGAATTCACTCCCCACAACAACAACATCTGTGAAGGGTGTCACAATGGGCGTGCGCAGGAACCGGCAGTGCACAGCCATGCGGGTGCAGTCGAGCATCTCGCGTGTCGTACACCCGAGCAGCGCAATCTGCAGAAACGGCTGGCTGTAAGTGAAGAAGGTGCCACCGCTGGCAACAGCAGCACTGCTGCTACATGCCTCGGGCGAGAAGGAGCGTACGTCAGTGCGGCATCCACGCTGCTGGGGCGCAGCAGAAGCTGCAGCATTAATTCCCAACAGACTTATTGAGCGTTCTTCGCGTACCCACGACGGGTCGGCAACTGCCTTCTCATCGTCGGCGCACATCGACCACCGCACGCCGTCGCTCGTCCGGTTCATATCGTGCTGTCCGTCCTGCGAGTCAAGCGTCTCCGGCTTCACCTCGCGTGCCTCAGTCTGCATCGTCCGTTCCGCTACACTTCTGCACTCGTCATCACCCCCACCAATGTTCGCAGTTTTACCGTGACCACCGTCAACTTCACGGGGTCGCTTTCTCGCCTGCCTGCTGTCGATGTCGGGCCCCCTAGTCACATCAGTCTTCTCACTTTTGTCAGCTCTATCCACCTCTTCCACTCCTACTCCTGCTGCTGTTGTTGTTATTGCTTCAGTGAGTTCCCGTTGTGTATGCGGCACTGCACCGTCCGCCACCGAAGCCGGCAGCGCGCAGAGCCGCGCGATAGTGTCAAAGTCCGCACGCGACGATGCACCGTCGCTGCCGCTGCCGCTGCTGCTCCCGCTGCCCACCGCCGCCATGGAGAGAAAGCGCGTGTAATCCACAACAGGAATTTCCGTGGCCCATGCGAAGCGGATCTTTTCAGGCAGGGGCGGCGACGCACTGCCTCCGTACGGCCCTGTCGAGGGGCGGCCGCAGATGCGTTGTTGTTGCTGCTGCCACTGCTTCAGCCAACCAGGCGGGATAAACAGCATCGATGTACGTGTCGTGAGTGTGCGGTCAAAAGTTCCCCCATTGCGCTCAATGATGGACGTAAGTGCCTTCTCCTCGTCCGCCGTCATCTGCGTCGCGCAGAATGTGTAGCCGGACAGTAGCGCCACCCGCGCGTCCGCAAAGGCGAGACGGCCGTGCGACTCGAGCCAACGCGGCGACACCACCGGAATGTGGTGCTTCTCTGCCACCAGCCGCTTGCGGGTGAGGCCCTGCCGTGCGACAAGGACAGTCGTGCGCTTTGTGATGTGTGTCTGCACCACGGCGCCTAGGGACTCGCCCAGCGCCTGCAGCTCCCGCAGCGTCCACACCTTTCCGGCCTCGCCCCCTGCCGCTGATGCCGCTGCGTTATTGTTGTTGTCATCGTCATCATCGTCGTAAAAACCAGTGAAGCACACATGATGCCCGGAGAGAGCCATACGTCTACAGCGGCGTAGAAGCCGTCAACGCCTACCCAACACCTTGTATGTGTGTATGTGTGTGTGTGCACAAAAAAGGTAGGAAGATGGGTCTACAGGAAGACTATCGCCCCCCTTTTTACTTCCAGCACCAGCACCAGTAAAAAAAAAAA